GAGGAATTTCGGCCACTCGTCTTTGCAGAATTGATTTTGAGTTAGCTATGATGGAGGCTTTTCCTGTATAAACAGCCTGTTTAAGGTCTCACCATAGCATCTCATTGTGATGTAAGAATTTGACTAGACCACTCCAAAACCTTCCTTTTGTTTATGAGTGTGTGTGTGTGTTTTTTTTTTAAATCATTCAGAAGTGAACTTGTTGATGCATATCTCAGATACCCAGGAAAATACTCAGTACTGTTTTACCAGTATCCCACAGGGAAAATATTTAACCTGTCCTGCAACAACAGAAGTAATGTCAAAGAAATCCTTTCTTGAAAAAATGTAACCTGTTAACTTTCAGTTAGATTTAACAAAATAAGTACCTATTTAAGATTGAGTTAATTTAAGAGGTTTTATTCATTTTACAAGTTATTTCGGTACAGATCGTGAAGGTAAAATATATTTGAGAACCTCCTAACAAACAGAGGGTACAACAAACAACACAATACCTAACACGTGGAAATAATTAAATTATTGTAGGAGAAGAAATTAAGATAAAAGCTACAAATGAAAGTTGGATGTGGTATTAGTAACAGATACAGCCACTTCAAATGCCCGCCTCATTCCTGACAGGACCATGACCTGTCCCAAGCAGCATTTATGAAAACCAGTGGTAATGTCTTGTACATCCACCAGGGGGCACTAATGGAAGTTGATTCACTTCCAGCTTTCTACACATGTATCAATGCAAAATATAAATGCAAACTGATTACTGGTTGGTCCTGTCAGAGAAGAGCGTATTTTAGATGTGGTACAATAATAATTACATATATTAGCTAGTTATGTAGTCTTATAATATATGGATTGCATCATTTTTATATGCAGTAAATTGCTCGCTGTTAACCACCTGTTTTTCTTTTAATTCTCCTTCCACACTCTGCACATTTCTGATAAATCACTGCGGTAATTTTAACAACTTTTACAGACAGGTAGGCAGAGGGCAGACCGACATTAGCATCACAGCAGATTCCTTTGTCACACATTAGGTGATTCATCAAACAGCTCTCTGAACAACCACAGAAGGGCAGCAACTTCCAAACCCCACGCAAATATCCTGTCAGTGCTGGTTGTGATTTTAAAACTTGTAAACGGTGTTCCAGGAATCATTGATAGAAAGTATTTATAGAACACTGTTATAAAAACAGTCACCTTCTTTGTATTTTCCCGAACTATAGGGAGGGATTTTTGCTTTTCTCATTTTAGTGCTTGTTGTTAAGCTGCCGCGCTTCATTTGCATATCGTCACCACTTAATGATGTGAAACAGACAAGCAGCACCCTCCCCCCCCAGCTCTGCCTGTCTGTGAAGCCTTCTTATTCAATGCCAATTATGTGTTTTGTCCTTCAATAAAATTAATCAAAAACGATTTTTAGATTACTTACATTACTGTAAAAATCCCATTTTAAAAGTATGCAGTCCAGAGTTTGTTACTGTTGTTAATACATTTGCAAACTTTGTAACATCATGGTAGATTTATACCAGAGTGTAACCCAAAACGATGCAGAAGTCATTTCAACTTGCAATGATCTGACAAACCAGAACATGCCTGTTTAGTGTATTAAGGTCAGAGAAGGTCAGTCACAGAAACAGTTTTCAGCGCAGCGTTCATGAAACCCCCGACATCAGAAAGTCAGGTTTTTTTTTACTCTTGTGGTAACTGTGAGAGCATGTGCTGCTCTCCTTGAAACAAACTGAAGGTTTCAACAGAAAGAACAAAAGCTCACTATCAAGTGGGAAAATCTTAAATATATGGAATTCACATAGTAGTATAGACTCCATTTTTTGCCAGTCTTCTAATGCCCCGCTTTCAGGAAGGCACCGTGAGGTTGCTTTGTTTGTTTGCTCACATTTTCAAAGACCCAGCCCAGCCCTCATAAACAGCCTAAACAGCTGATAAGAGTTACACACCTACACACATCTATCAAGTTAACACAGGTGGAATACACTTGGATTTGGATGGTTGCAAGGTTAAAACAGAACTTGAAGAAACATTCCACCCTAAGGTACAAAACAATTATAAGGCAAAGACATTTATAAAAATAATACTGAGAAAATCATCGGACTGAAAGCAGCAATATTGAGTGGCTGTATCTGTATACTAAGCTAAACTAGTTATAATAAAATAAAGACAATATAAAAAAACAGACGGCTAACTGTGAACGATTGAACTGGTCACTGTCCGCATTTTAAAACGGAGCTGGCTACAACAACATAAGAACCTCAGTTTAAAAATAGAGTCAAAGTAGAAAAGTTAAAGTTAAAGTCATCTTTTCCACATCTAATTTTATTAAAAACAATATAGTTCTTGTTTTTATAGTCTCTCCAGATAGCACAAGAAACTTTAGAGTGAAGACTTGGTTAGCTGTGTGTGTGTGAGAGAGGGAATAAAGCAAAAAGAGAAAGCTCTCATTTAAATTAGAGCAAATTCCAATGAAAATCTGCCTTGAAACATTTGATAATGTTATGGTGTGCACTGTACCGTTTGAAGTACAGGGTTCACTCAGCCATCAGAGCTATAATCTGTTCAAATAAACACCCAACATAATCACTAAATGCAGAATTCTACAGATACATTTTATGCATACACAGAAAAGCACTAAGTGATGCCTGTCCAGCAGAATTAGGAAGACACCCACTGATAATTAGACTGAATTAAATAAAGTAAAACATTTTTGATCACCATAAGTCCAGCTCCTAAGACACACTCCATTCTAAAGCCCTCTAAACCCAAAGAATGAGCCTGACTGGTCTCACAAAAACACTGCTTTCCAAACACCAGCCAGCTAATTATAACAAAATGCAAATAAATGTATGTAAGAAAAACAGTCAGAGATAGAAAGTAGAGACAGCTCTTAACGCAAGGACACAGAACATGCGATCAGTGTTTGACTGGTCAGTTTGAAACAAAGACACATTTCCTCCTAGATTGGAAGTCATTCAATGAAGTAAGGAACACTTACTTAAACCACTTCACTTCTGTAATTCCAAATTTCCACGAGCTAAGCAACATTTCAAAATAAAAGTATATTCCCAGGAGAAGGACACAGGGCATGACTGGCTGCCTGATATATGTCAACATGCCACCACCCAAGGGACAGTGAATGACCTACACACCCACACAGACACACAAACTCAAACATGCACATGCGCACACAGGCATATAATAAATGTATGTATTTATTTATTTATATATGTGTGTGTGTGTTCTGTTTTTCCATTATTGTGATACGTCATTATCGGTATCACCATCGCCCGCCTCTGGTGGTACTCGATATCTTAATAACCATTTATACACATATTTACTAAAGCTGGACTTGCTTATATTTTTCACACTGCTTTGATAAGTCAAAGTCAAAATCCAGTTGCAACTTGCTTCATCTTAACTGTGATGGTATAAACAGAAGCTACACATTGTTTAGGGAAAATGTGAGCTCATGCTGGTCTGAGCTGAAGCTATCTAGATAATGAACATATGTCCTTTTCTAGAGGAAACAAATGTAAATATAAAACAAACTCACTGCAGTAATAGCAAACAGTACTGTGCATGTGAGAGATTGGGTTTCCTTGTTGACATGACAGCCTTAAAGTTTCA